GAGGAAAGCTCTTCAGGAGTCAGCTCTAGCCAAGGCTTTCCTATCAGGACAATAATGAGTTCACAGAGCCTGAAGGAAGGCTGGAAGCTGACTACAAACCAGGCAGGATAAGCTGATGCAGGACCAAGGGCAGTCTTGCAGCATGGTGCCTCTCTTGATGCTATAACAACTCATTTGAAAACACAAACTTGACTTCATGTCAGGATCCATCCCCCCATACAGGCCACCAATTGTTGGCATCAGTGCTTGGTACCAAGCAATGGTGGATGGAAACTCACTGTCATCACCATTTTGTTATCTTACTGTAAAACTTTCATACCTTCTCTCTATGAGTTCTCACAGGCAGCTCCTCACAGCACTGACTCCTTTTCATTCTTCTGCATGACTGGCCAACTCCTTCCTGTCCCTATCACAACCGCCTGACCCTTTCTGCACCTAGCAGCACATACTAACCCTTACTGTCCCTAACACAACCACCCGACCTCTTCTGTCTCTAGCAGACATATTAACCCTCACAGTCCCTAGCACAACCACCTGACCCTTACTCCTCACAACAGCACAGCCAACTGACTCCAACTCTCCTTTCAACCAGCTAACCCACTCTTTTGTAATACTCATCCTTATTGGATACAGCTGTGACCTATTAAGGGCAAGGCTGTTCCTAGTCTTTGGTAATTAGTACAGCTGCAACTCCTCAGGGGCAAGATTGCCTTCAGCACTATTTTCTCACAATCTATCCTCCCACAACTTCATGTATGATTTCAAAAGATGGAAGACTGACATTCAGACTGAAGTCCCCCTCAAAAGGAGAACACAACAACTAACCAGCACCAACAGTCACAAATTCAGCGCATACATTCATGTGCTCCTCCTTGCTGTTCACTCTCCCTGCAAGCAGAGTGCCATTCAATCAGTAAGCTAAAATGCACCACCAAAAGCCTCTTTCCTACTGGACGGATATGAGTGCCAGTGACAGCAAAATAAACATTGTTGTATCTTTGATGATTCCTGATTATATCTGCATGCAAAGGTAATATGAATCCTCATCTAAAGCACCACTGCCACATAAATCACTCAAATACTTTTTTCAAATTTCTAAAGTCTTTCCTTAGATTTTACTACTCATTTCTTACTTCCTCTCAATAAGCAGGAAAACGGCAAGTATTAAATGCAGGTAAGTTTCAGCTGCTCAAGTTACATGTATCTGTAGTTCACACTCAAACACCAAGAAAAACGCAGCACTTCCCAGCATACAAATTAACTGAGCTGAATAGGCACACCTATTTCGGGCACAGCTTTCCAGAATGAGGGGACTGAGCCCGAGCCAAACTCCCAATTCCATCTGTATGCAGTGGTAACGGATGTGCAGCTGTGTGTTTTTATGTAACCATATATAGTTCAGGCAAACTTCCCCCAAAGTAATTCCATGCAAATTCATGTCTCCTATAAACTGGCTAGAGCATGCAATGAAGACCTGTGTGGGGAGCGTGGGTGTGAAGAGGAGAGACAAAAATTTCTGACACTCCTTTTCAAAGCAAACCAGTACACAAACAAGGAAATCAGAGGCTGCTGAACGTAGCCAAAGTGATCATAGCGAATCCAGGTCTACACCACATAAAAAAGGCTCCCACAAACATGTCAACATTGAGAGCCTGAAGGGCAAGTGAAAACAAAACTGACTCACCTATATTCCTCATTTAGAATAAGAAAAACAAAGTATCATAAGATAAACAAGTACAGTAACATGTAAAAAGAAAACCAGTTTTATAATATTCCCTTTTCTATCTACCTTCAGTAAAGTGGAATCAACAGCTTTAAGGAAGCTTTAACCTATTTTAAGGTCAGATGGGACTCTGTACAACAGTTACAGACTACTACCTGAAAAAAGGCTGAATACTATGAATATTTCACCTTCCTTGCAGCAACAAACATGCTGTTTTAATTTAAGTAACTTTTATCTTTCTGGAAATTATACTGCAAAGTGTTTAAAAAGATCTTTAAAGAGACAGATGTATACAAATAAACTGGATAATGCCTCCCCAGCAGCTGGCAGACTTTCAGAGTCCTACATTATGGCTGTGTCAATTTGGGCTTTGTCTAAGTGATAGGGATAGATTCTACCCACTCCAGATTTAAATCAGAGAGGATAAAGCTCAGACATATAATGGCTGATGCACATTCTCTGCTACAAAATGCAGTTACTGGTATATTAAAGGGAGTCTGTTGATTACTGGTATATTGTTGTTACTGGTATTTTAAAGGGAGTCCAAATGCTGAGAGAATGACTGAACTGGACATCCAGGTGGCAGCATCAGGAATTGAAAACTGAAGACATGAGGAGCTGGATTCCAATCCAGCAAAACAAATCCTTGAAGTACAAGTAAACCCTGAGAAATCTTGAAAGAAGAATTGCTGGTGCTAAATGGTTGCCTGATTTCAGATCTAACTGGCCAAAACAGTGGGCTCCTTCAAAGTCATCAATATTTTCTATTCCTTAAGACCATGAGGGCTCTCATTACTGTCAGCTGGAGAGTGAAGGTGGGTGTCACCTCTTCTAAATGTGGATGAAGCCTGAGGTAGCATCCCATCACACTAAGTGCAACACACTTGTATAGCATTCATCTGCACCTTGGAGCATCAGCACCAAGTACCTGTGATGTGGAACAGGTAGGAAGGCAATGGGCACAACAGAGAGAGAGAATGGACAGTAGACAACAATAGCCAAGAAAGTGGGAACCAAAACATGGTTACATTCTGTCAGTGTTGGCCTCCTACAAAGAAATAGTCAAGAGTCCCAAATCTGGGGGCAAACATTGTTCAAAGCTATGCCCTCCTGACCTCCTTTCTAGGTTTTGGTACTGCTTGATGACAAAAGAAGGGCAAATCACCACATTTAGGCAACGTAGTAAAGGACAACTAACTCATGAAAAATGTTGCAGACTGGATGGTAGCCCACACACTTTAGACATTAGCTGAAGCTCTGAAAAGCAATTTGAGTAACTTCCTTTGATGTACCATCTGGTGAATAATTTACTGGGAATGTCTTAATCACATCAAAGGTATCTATCAATGTGCTCAGATTTTCTCAGTGTTTAAGATTCTGCCTCTATATTGCACTCAAGGAACAGACATATTAGTACAGAATTAAACTTTACTGCAGTACTCCCACAGTAATAAAAAAAATCTGCAGCACATTATCAGTATGGCCTCAAGGACTAGGTTTAGGAAGAGCAATATTTCACTGTTACCTCAAAAAAGCTGCTACTCTACAATCAGCTTTGCTCCTGTTTCCAAAAATGTATAAAATAGACATAGATCTGTAGCATAAAACAAGTTAAAAAGCACATCTCCCTATTCGAGGATGTATTGGCAGGGCTCTCTAACATCAATCACATGGGTTTAGACCCAGAGTAGATTTAGACTAGATATAAGGATGAAATTTTGTGCAATGAGAGCAGTGAAACACTGGCACAGATTTCCAGAGATGTTGTGGATGCCTCATCCTTGGAAACATTCAAGGTCACATTGGACAGGGCTCTGAGCAGCCTGTTCTAGTTGAAGATATTTCTGCTTATTGCAGGAGGATTGGACTAGAAGGCCTTTGAAGGTCAACCCAAACCGTTCTAGATGTGTGTGACATCCATTTGTCATATTCAAAATGGAAGTACTATTATTACTGCTTCCCCTCCCTAAATATTGATACTAAATTGGGATCATATTAAAAAAAAACACCCACAAAACTTTCTGGCTATTAAATATAGTTTTAAAGTCACATGGATAATTTATTCCCTAAAAGCCAAGGCCAGATTATGCTTATTTGCATGTGCCAGTCCTGTCTTACTGCTTAAGTGCTTTAAACCGCGTTATCCTTCAGCATCACCCCAACACACCCGCGCAGCTCACTCACTGCTTTGCTGCGCCGACAGGACCCCGCGAACCGCCCCCGGCCGGGTGCTCACCGCAGGCCGGTCAGGAGGAGGTCGCTCCGGGGAGGGGAGCGACTCCGGCCCCGAGGTCGCGCCCCCGTCGGCTGCTGACACCCACCCACGCCCAGCCGGCACCCCCGCAGCATCCCCGCCCCTCGGCATCCCCGCTCCGCTTCCCCGCCGCTCCCCGCTCCGCATCCTCGCCCCGCCCGCCCCGCCCCGCGGGCTGATTTACGGCTCTGCTGAAAACGCCGCCCCGCCGCCGCCACCAGCAACAAGTCGGGTGAGTGCGGCGACCTTGCGGGCGGCCGAGGCCCGCGCCGAGCCGGGGCCCGGCGCCGCTGCGCTCCGGCAAGGCCCGGGCGGCGGCCGAGGCGAGCGGGGCCGAGGCGAGCGGAGCCGGCGGGGCCGTGCGGCCGGAGCGCCGCGCCGAGTGGGCGCGTCCCCGGGCGGAGATGGCGCGGTACCCCTGAGGAATCGCCGGGAAAGTTTCCCAAGTTTCCCGTGGGGCGCGGACACGGACCGTTCCCTCCGGCGAGGAATGCAACAGACAGCCCGGGATGAAGGCGGGCACCCCTGGCCGGAGCCGCTCGGCAGCGTCAGCCTCCCCTTCCGCTGCCCGCGATGCGGCGACCACACCAGGTTCCGGAGCCTCTCCTCGCTGCGGGTGCACCTGGAGTACAGCCACAGCTTCCAGGAGAGCAGCCTCCTGGGCAGGAGCAGCCTGTTCTCCCCGCTGAAGGACGCGGAGCTGGTGTCTCCGCCGGAGCCCGCAGCCCGGGGCAGCCCGGGCAGCCCCGGCGGCGTTGCCGCGCAGCCCGCGGGGCCCTGCCTGAACTTGGGCGCTGCGTCCTGCGGGAGCGGCAAGGGCGAGCAGCCGCGGGAGCTGCCAGCGGAGCGGCCCGGCTCCTTCCTGGCCAGCTATGTGTCGGCTGAGTCTCCCAGCGAGCTTTCCAAACCCGGCCTCCCGGCCACTGATTCCAAAGCCTCCTTCGAGGCACACGTCAGAGAAAAGTTTAACAGGATGGTAGAGGCCGTGGACAAAACGATCGAGAAGCGGATCGACAAGCTTACCAAAGAGCTGTCCCAGAAGACGGCGGAGCTGCTGGAGGTGCGGGCAGCGTTCGTGCAGCTGTCCCAGAAGAAGCAGGAGGTGCAGCGGCGAGAGCGGGCCCTGAGCAGGCAGGTGGATGTGGCGGTGGAGATGATCGCAGCGTTGAAGCAGCGGCTCAGCGAGTCCGAGGAGGAGCTTCACCGGAAAGAGGAGTAAGTGGGGAGGCGAGTGCCGATGGCTTGGCGAGGGCTGGCCAGCTCCTGCGTGAGTGACAGCCTTTGGGGGAGAAGACAGGGAATGGCTCAGTTGCTTGCTGACTGTGAAAGGGCCTGGAGCTCAACAGCTTCAGATCGCTGTATTGCTAGAGTTGTAGCCCATGTGACCATGTCCTCTGCAAGGCAGGGGACAGCTCCCTGAGCAGGTGGCTTTCACACTTGGCTCCCCAGTGACTAACAGAGCAGGGGACAGCTCCCTGAGCAGGTGGCTTTCACACTTGGCTCCCCAGTGACTAACAGAGCAGGGGACAGCTCCCTGAGCAGGTGGCTTTCACACTTGGCTCCCCAGTGACTAACAGAGCAGGGGACAGCTCCCTGAGCAGGTGGCTTTCACACTTGGCTCCCCAGTGACTAACAGAGCAGGGGACAGCTCCCTGAGCAGGTGGCTTTCACACTTGGCTCCCCAGTGACTAACAGAGCAGGGGACAGCTCCCTGAGCAGGTGGCTTTCACACTTGGCTCCCCAGTGACTAATTTCTACACTTTCTAATGCCTGTGTTGGGCCTTTGGTTTCATGGGGGTAGGGTCAAGTAGAAGCTCTTATCAGCATGTAATGTGATTTACACTGACACCTTTAATGCACCGTCTTTTTAAGAAGATATGTGTGGATAAGTCTGGATGAAATATGTGAGAATACCTAATAGCACCTTTTCCCTTAAGCCATCTCACCATGGTCAGCCTGTGCAGTGCCATAGTCTCTTGTGCATCAACAAAGCTTTACTGAAGACAGTGCTGAAAAGGCCATGTCCAAGTAGTTAATGTCTGGTGTTTTAGATGGACACAGAACTATGGAACAGGAATCACATATATGGGATTAGAAAGCAGATGCCAGAGTTCTGACTAACCTAAGCCGTCTAAAAACACATTCATGATGTATCCATTAAAAATGTAGTGATAGCTGATATATAATTTATACATGAACTACTTAGTTTATTCAGCACTTGCTGAAACCTTTCAGGTTTTTCAGAGCAACACAACTTGTTTTAGAGAAATGGAAATGAAGAGCCTTGGTAATGGTGTGCTTCTAAACCAATTCATCAGCTTACAAAAGGAAAATGAGAAGTGGTAGTTGCCATGACACTGATCTTACAAGAAATAAGAAAGGTGGTGTAGGAGTTCCCACGTAGGAAGTTTGGAGGGCTTTCATCATTCCTTCCTGTAGTCTAAGGACAAGAAAGAAAACATGAGGATGGCTCCCACATCAGTAGGAGCCATCTATCTGGAAGCTGAGCTATAGATTTTCAAGAAGAGGGGATACATAAAGGTGGTGGGATGTGAGCCTCTCAGATCTTCCTTGAAGGGATATTCAACAGGACCTCTGATTTTAAAGTATGAGTGATCCTCATGGAAGAGAAGATTGAAAGACTTACGGTGAAGCTGAATCTGAATAGTGTCACTGAGGCAGATTTGAAAGTATGCTGGAGGGAAGCCACGAAGATAATACAGTTTCAAGCAGTTTTGGTATTCCCATCTAGCCAGACTGCCCTCCTGGGCCTTTACACCGGGTGACTCATCCTATTTCCTCTAGGAAAGTGTCTTAGAGGGGGAGGGATTGCTCTGCAAAGGTCCTTCTTCCCTCTGCAGACTACCAGGAGACCTCAGGTAAGCAGCTGAGCAGCTGTCTTAGGCTAGATGCAGAATTTAAGGTATCTCAAGTTAAGTGGCATGAATCTTACCCCAAACTAAAGACAGCCTGTTTTTTTAAAAATCAAGACTAGGATCCCAAAAGGAAAAACATGACTGTCAGGAGAAAGAAACCATTCACTGGAACAAACCCAAAGGTCTGCAGTGGTGTAGAAGAAAAGACCTTGTGGGAAAAGAGGAAAGGAGCAATTGAGTAATCTCTGAAAGGGTATGATATTGGGAGGATGGCAGAGGACACCGATCTTTGAAAAGGAAAAGATGGCTAAAGTTGTGATTTTTAACTGTATTAGGAAAAGGAACAAGGAAGAGGCCACTTGCTCTTTGGCAGACTACTTACCAGCAGCAGTGTCAAGCTAGTGTTCTGAGACCAGAAAAGACTGAATACAGAATGAGGAGAAGTGGGAAAACATTGTCCTTCACACTAGTAGATTGCCAGGCTCAGGAAAGGGGCAAGAGCTCAAATGATTGCTGTTAGAATTCTTTTCTGGAAAGGAAGAGGGTGAATGCATCAACAATTTACAAGGTAGCTCCTAAGTTGGTGTTACAGGGAAGGCTGAAGGTAACTTGGCTAGAAACACTAACCAAAAGAGGCAGCTGCAAGAGAGACTTCACAGAGTACAGGTACTGCTTTTTAGGGTTTTGCATTCTCTTACAACAAAAAAAACTTGAAAGCAAGTGCAGCAATAGGAATGAGTGAACAGCTCTTACATGGTAGTGTGTTAATTTCTAAAGGTAAATGTGTGTAATATGTGGTAGTGGAGAAGATGAAAGAATTGCAGCCCTGAGTACCAAGGGGGAGGAGGGCACTCAGAATATGTCTGTGCCCAGCCCCACAGCATTGCCTCTGAAGTTACACCGAGGACACTGGGAGGGTAGGCAGGGGGAAGAATAGGTTGAATTAATTTAGGAAAAACTGGAACTGTGTTAGCTGGGTTTTTCTGATTTAGATGATTCCTGCATTTTCCATCTTGGGCTATAACAAGGGATAGTGCCGTATAAAAATGCACTGTTTGGCTTTCCAATTGAAAGATCACTGTATAGTTAGCAAATTGAGAAGGAAGATAGGTATTAAAAAATGCTTTGTAATAACAGGACTGATAGTTCTAGAGCAGCTTTTCAGAGTTGATTCTTTAAAAATGCCTGGGACAGTTAGCTTTACTCCAGCAGCAGGGAGGCACTGGGTGATGTGCTCTAGTAGAGAAAAAAGTTAATGACTTTGGTAACAACAGCGACACTTGTCTGGCTTTCTCAGGGCCATTGGTGAACTCTGAGACCTATCTATATATTCAATCCTTTATGTGTTCAAAACTTACTTGGTGTACTAAGAAGACATTGTCCTTCAAAAAAGGAGAATCTCGACTTTGGCTTTGATTTCTGGAAGAAGTCCAGATGATTAGAAAGCCAAATAAGACTGCATAATGGAAATTGCAGAAGCAGTTCTCACTACAGATTGTGGAAAGTCAAAGGCATCTCTTAGGGACGGCTTTGATACTTGCTGACCTTCAGAAATAAATGCTTTCATCAGTTTCTTTGGATTTTTTTTCCATAAGCAATTTTGTGAATATGGGTAACTTTTCCTAAAATGAGCATTGGTATTGAGCTAGTGTAGCTACAGATCTTTTCCTCTTAGCAGCAGAAAAAAGAAAACATCTTCCCTGAAACATCTGAGTGTTGGTTTAGACCATCAGCAGGAAGAGGGCTGCCCATTTGAAGAGTTTGTAGGATCAGTGGGGTTATTTCTTTAGACTGGTCAGTTGATTATTTTTAATTTGTTTTAAATAAGGCCTTTAGCAGTCCAACAAAGACAGCAATGAAGTGAAGACACCTTTTTAGTTAAATGTTCTCTTTGTTTCCTTACAAAAACAGCAATGCCAATATGCTTGCACGTATGTGCTGATACTGGTGTGAGGCCCTGGTGGAGGTGAACTCTGTTGAGGGGTAGGACAGCTGGAGGTACAACACTGACTGTACTATACACAGTTGAAATAGTATTACTCTAAGCACAGAGCTGCTGAGCAAAGGAATTATTTAATTAGAAAATGTGCCCTGAAAGGGATTATTCAATGTTTGATGAAGAAGAATGCAACAAAGAGAAAGCACTGTGATCTTAAAGATAACACAGAAGCGTGCCCAAAGGGCATAAGACTTTGTTGAATAAGATATCAAGAAAACCATTGAAACAAAAACCGGCTATGAACTTAACTGCTAGAGGACACTGAGAGGCTTGTTTCTAGATGTTATGTAAGAAAATTGAAACTATTAAGAGTTTGATTTTCAGTAAGTTTGAGCAGGGTAAGAAGTGATGATCTTCGGCTGGAATCTACCTTCAGTGGTAATTCGAACAGTTTCACTTTGTCTCCTAATCACAGAGTAAGATCATGAATGTTGTACCTTGCCATATCTCTGACAGCAATTTCTCTAACCAGTCTAACGCATTTATTTTGAGACTGGTCATACCTCTGCTCTGACATAACCTGGAATGCCAAGGATTAATTCGGAATAGCTGTTGTGGGCAGTAGTTATTCTTGCCAGTGGCTTCACCTTAAATTTGCAATTAATGAAATTATCTGTGTAGATAACATCTGGACAATGGCATTAAGAGCTGGCTTTTAGAGATCAATCCAATTTGTGATTTAAAACAGCTTTGCTTTAAAAAGGGATTTCAATTGTACCACAAAACAGTTTTGATTTGCTTTAAGCAGCGTACAACTACAATTACACGTTGTTCTTCCACCCTCAGTTTTAGATAATCCTGCTCCCTCTTCCCTGTTTTCTTTCATCTTCCTACTCAAGAGATTACTCCCCCACCCATGCATCTGCACAGGTTTAAGCCTAGCATGACTGTCCCATAGAATGGCTCTGTGAAATAAAGCTTAAAATCTTCAGTGTCACCCCGGTAAATTCAGAGCTCAGGTCTAGAATACAGCCCACTGAATCGGTGCAATAACTTTCTGAGGGAGGAGGTGTGAATCTCTTAAATCAAATGTGCTTTTAGTGGTGTGGTAATGTGAAACCACAACCTAATGAATAACAGCAGCCTTCAGGCAAAAACACCAGTTAGGTGATGGATAAGGTCAGTGTCATTAATACTTAATGAATATACATATTAAATATTTTGACTGTAAATCACTTCACTACTTACTGTGGTAGGAATTTTCCCACCTTCAGATAAAATAATGTGTTTGG